CTATGCTCTACTATCTCCTTCTTCAGTCTGGGTTTGATTTCCATTTTCACTGTGGGATTCCATTCTTGGTGGTCCTGGATCTGGGTTTTTCAGCTGGGTCAGATCTTCATAGCCAATATTCTTTCCTGGGGGAACATTTATTTTCTTTGGTCGTCATCGGTCGCGACTCTCATCATCATCAACTCCTATAATTGTCCTCAACATGCCAAGAACAGCATCTGGCACACTATTACTTACATTTTCCATATCTTCCTGGGTGTTGGCTGAAAATGTATCCTGCAACCTCTGCAAAACCTGTGGTGGAGCTAGAGGGAAGATGAACAACTTCTTAAATCCAGTCTGCAAGTTTGTACTTGTCTCAGTGTCATTAGGGATACAAAAAAAACAAAAAACATACAGTTTCTTCAGCAGTGATGGAAATACATCTTTGTTCAGGGTTTTGCATTCTTATCGCCATTTGCTTTCTAATCATCCATGGTTTTTCTCCAACACTGTTTCAAGGGTTTGTAAAATGCAACGTCAAGTGGTTGCATCGTATGAGTTGCATTGGATGGCAAACAAAAAAAGGAGATATTACTCTAATCAGCAAGCCTCTAAATATTTTCTGTAAAGGAGCTACTCAAATTATCTCCAATAACTACTTCTTTCCCAGGCAAACCTTTCACATGAAATAGAAAAACTTTGGAACTCGTCTGTGAAATAGCAAGTATCAAACCAGCTGCTCCGACTCCTATTATATATCGGGTTCCTTTAGGTCTTCCTTCAGGCCATATTATTTATAGGTTTTCCATTTTATAAACCACTTAACTTGGTATCATTTCACCTGGTGCAGATCCTTAAAACATCACTGAAATGGATGATTTACAACTATCTCTAATTCTTTCTACATACTTTACTCCACGTTTAAAAATGCATTTCTTGACCCCAGGGTCATAACACAAATTGTATTCATCATATTTGAAGATTTTCTGCGGGGACACTTCCTTCGGTGTCTCTTCTAGGTGCTCAAAGTACTTCCTGACTTCTTCAGCACTAACATTTGTCCGTGATATTTGAATGTTCTGACATGTCATGCAATTTCATCTTTATGTTTATCCATAAAAGGCATTTCCCGTTCAGGTGATGGAAAGTTGCTGGAAAACTGCTCTACGACCTGTGCGTTTAGATAGTTGATCATAGTTCTTTGCCATAAATCTTATACCAAATGTATCAAAGGGGAATCCCCAATCTGCCGCAACTCGTATATGATCTACGAATGACTGCCCCTCTGCTTCAGTGAAGACTGTTTGATGTCCCGTTTTCCGTCATGTATTTGTTCAATTCGTGACTTTGCGTTCCAAGGGGAACTTGTACTATTTGCTGGCTTTTCAAAGGAACATTTTCTTCGTTTTTATCTGATCAAGAGCCTTTTTTTACATCTTCGTTCTTGTGGTGACGAAAATAAAACCGCTGTTTGTAGTGTCTGGTCATTTTGACAGATGTGACTTCTTTCACTGGGTATATATGATTGTTGGTACGAATTACATACGAGATGACCTGAAATTCAAAACGTCTCAAACTAGGTAACCCTAAACACATATGTATACAAAATGATGAGGTATTTGGTCAGTTGAGCCTCAAATACAATATTAAGATAAATTAATCCTGAGTTTGTGGTTACATTGAATGTCTGAGGTTACTGTTCAAAGTAACCTCAGACAGCCCTATTATCTACATACATTTCACATAGCTTGCTAAATTATAAAGTCATCCAACAAGCAGGTTCAGTTATCTTTCTCAGTCCGTGTGTACGTAATATAATTTACACTTAAGCTAAATTTATTGGTTTGATTACCATGAAAACGTGATTATCATGTGTTGATGACGGCCATGTTTGACAATTTGCTGCGGACCTAATTTCTTTCTCAGAAATATTTTATCATCAAAATTCATCTATAAAATAGTAAGAATAAAGATTTTAAGGTAAATAAAAATTGTTTTAACGCATTGCTGAATTATTATGGCTGGTTAAAATAATCAAAATCTTTTTCACAAAGAGTGTTCAAAGTAACCTCAGATTACGGTAGTATTTTTTACGACCTTATTTCTAGTGGAAGCTACTATTTATGATGTCAACAAAGTTAAAGTCTGAATACTAGTTTGAGTCTGATGTTGAACTTTCTTTTTTGAAAGAGACTTAACACACTAAACATCCATATAAAAATATTGATTATTTATCCCTCTTTACAATTTTGATCATAACTTTTCAATCTTATTCAAGCACTTTATCCAACCTTATTAGCCTATGTTTCAAACTTATGGCTTGAAATTCTCCTTAAGCCAAAATTACTTTCAAAACTATTTTTTACCAATAGTACCTTTGTGAGCTAGGAAATAAAAAAATGATAATGGCGACCATGTTCGTTTTTCTGATTGTCAATGATAGTATATCAAACATTTGTTATAGGATTCACGTTAGACTACAGATTTTTCATATCTCTCATAATTTATTTATTACGGATTTCGAATCATTTACATAGAGCATTTCAGATCTACTCCTTTCTTTCCCCCCACAATTTATTCCCAGGAGGCTTTTCGTTGAATATCGGCGCTTGTCCAATGGGTTGAAAGAGAAGAGACAAAAATTTACATGAAACGGTACTTACATATGCAGTACGCAAAATTTAGAGATACTGTTATTTAGATAACAAGGTGATGAACATGTGGGAATAAGCCTAATATACCACTTCTGAGATTGAGCGTAACTTGACACACAAAAATAAATGAATAACGAATAATTTCAGTGATATCGGTTGTGCGAAATTCAGATAAACTATTTCACAGTGCTTGCATGCAATGGATGACTCTCTTTTTAATGATATGGGACATTACCAAAAAAACAAAAAAAAAAACAGACCATCTCTCATTTATGTAAGTTGCCACTGTAGTCAAAAATCGTAGATAATAAGCTTAGCGATAGTTATTAATATACGATATACAGTATTCTAAAAAGAGACTGGAATATATTTTTCATAATCTAAAAGGAGTAAATTGAACTCGATGAATGATCGTGTTAAAAAGTCTATATTATTTCTAGAATATTTTCTGTAACAACATAATGTCAGGTACGGTTTTTGTGTGAAATGTTGTAATGGAGAAGTTTGGTTAGGAAGTCTTTCCCTATCTCCGATAGTTCCTGTTCCGCTACCGTGTAGCATACATTTTTTCTGATCCTCTCGAGAAAAGTCTACATCGATAACACTTCCAAACAACTGATATTCTCAAACCATCTGTCACAACTCTATTTACCGCAATGTATGTTTAAAAAGTTACAACTAACGACGCTGCTTATTATAGATAAAGGTTTGGAAGATGTTCCACACACGTGAACATGTATGTGAAACACAAAATATGTGCTTAATCACAAACACTTTTCACCTTCACAGGAAAACAGCGTAATACTCCTTTAGTTTAGAATAACAAATAGAAGTAAATATGATAAGAGTACAATGTTCTTCAATTAAGCAGTGAATCCTAGAGAATCCATGATACCCAACCATGGTCTAGCGAAAATAAGATGTATAAAATAACCATTATAGCATGTAACCTTAGCTCAAGGCATTGATTAATGTAATTTAACAAACTGAAAAACATCAGCACAATGTTGTTGTTTTTTTTAAATGTACCTGAATATAGTAAATATACTTTCCTCTCTAGTTGTAAAAGGGTAAAACATAGCCATTATTAACTGCTATAGGTAAAATATAAGGTGAATATAATATGCAAAACCTGCTAACTGGTAGAATAACAAAACTGAACCATCCCAGGATAAAAAGACTATGTGCAAGTTAAGAAATACTGAACAAAATTAGTATGATACATTAAACTAATTAAACATTTCTGATTCTTGGTGAATAAAACAAACCTAAAAACTATTGGTATTTTATATATATATTAACAGTGGAGAACAAGCTACACTTGTTGGGTGTTGGTAAATACAATCAATACTGCACCTACAAAAACTAATTCCTATCATATAAATGTAATGAAACTTGTTTGTCTGCTGAATTTTTCAAAAAAGTTACATGAGGGCTATTTGTGCTTGCATCTCTAATTTTAAAGTGAAAGACTCCGGGGAAGGCAGCTACTCAACACTACACACCTCTGTTGGGTTAGTTTTGTCAGACCAAACAGTGGGGTTTGACCATCACTCTTATAATGTACACACAGCCCCAATGCCAGAGCATAATTTATTTTGGTAGCAACAGGATGCAAACCACAGAACTTAGCTCCAAAGTCCAGTACACTAACCACCAAAAGGTAGTGAAGTGTGCATGTATTTTACACCAACATATATACATAGGAAAACAGTTATGAGAGAAAAATAAAACCTGTCATGGGCTTGTTAAGATTTCAGTTTTTAAATATTACCAGCCTAATTGTGATATTTCATGAAACATACATAAATATAATATTACTGAAAGTTTTTAATTTACCTCCCTTCTTAGTACAGAATTTCTAGTTTCTTTTACTTTATTATATGTTGAGCATGCTCTTGCTCAAACTAATGAGTTATTTGAATAGAGAAATTTGTAGCAAAGACTTAATAAAAATGAGCAATTTATGTGTTGAACTTAGTTTTATTTACTTCTGTATTAAACGATCTCAGAAGAAATCAAATCCCTGGACCATCTTAAGACATTAAGTTAACCTACTCAAATGAATTTGCTATTAAATAAATGGATAGCAGCTGGTATGGTCCATGGTAACTTCATATAAATTGCCACAAACCTTGTGACAGTGAGCTAGTATAACACCATAACAACTATGTACTATGTTTTCAAGAGATCTAATGAAATATTCTGTAAATAGCAATCTGTCTTTGGTACTGAGTGTATACAAATTAAAGAACAATACTTGGACCTGAGGTGAAAGTCCCATCATGACATATTTTTAAGTTTTAAATACAGATAACTTTACATTAAAATAAGCAAAATTCTAAAGAAAATAACAAGTCTGAATTCTGTACAATGTTTATCTTTAATTTTTCATCCAAAATGTACACAGCTTCAGATATAGTTGTATTTAATATTTAAAAAACACCTCTTTATGAAATTTACCTTGTTTTAACTTCTTTATACAAGTATCAGTTACTTTTACTATTTATAAACTAAATATAAGATGACAAAACAAATCTGGGTATCAACAGCACTGATGTTTTCACATTCAAATTTAGGCATTGATGTGCAATGCTGTAACAAACAATACAAAGTTCAGTTCTCATTAGCTTTGTACTTAGTTATATTAATGGTTACTGTAATGTGAAAGAATACTTACAATACATCTCAAGATGAAAGATGTAAGACTTTATACTAATGAAACATTACTAGTTTTATTAATTACTGACATTTCATACCCCCTTCCTCCAATCAGTCACACTTAAGTAATGTATGTGGCTACCAGAGAACCTGAATACATTTTCTGTAATGTGACTATTATGCAAAGTATTTATATATTTTGAAATAACAATTAATACAGTAAATAACTGCTGAAATCTGACACAATTTTTAAAAATGTTCATTTTTGAGCAGTGAATTTTCACAGATGTCAATTAAAATATTTTAATGAAATCATTTATACTTAAAACATTTGTTAAGATTAGCTGAAATGGTGTTAAATTTGTAATATTAATATCAAAACCTTTTGAATATCTAACTTAATTACATGGAGTGTAAGTGCAACTGATCTATACATAGTCATCATGTGGTAGCATAATGTTATTAAAGTTAGTACCATATTTGTGAAATGTGAAGTAAAGTTAGTATTTATAAAATAATTTAAATGCCATTTAATCAGTAAAACAGAGTAAAGAAGCCCAGTTGTGTAAAATCAAATTGTGATGCAAATAGTATACACAAATAGCGAATCATACATTTAGTCACATAAAACATGCAACTATAAAAAAAAAATTGGTATTATAGCTCATTTTGTCCATTAAGTAATTCACACACCATCATCAAACACTTTGATGTTTTGAAAATTAATCTGTTTTTGTTTTCATACCTAGATTATGTAAACTTCACAGAAAGGTTAAAACCACCACTACTTGTATTACTGTTTATTCCCTCCAATAAATCTAAGTAACTTTGATGTTGGTGACAATATGTAAGCTAACAAAATCACTAGCTTTTGTAAGTGCAATACAGTAAGTTGTTGTACAACTTCATAGATATCCTCAGTATATTACTATAATTTATGATACTAAAAGAATTAACCCACTGTAGGGCAAATTCCTGACTTGCAGACTATCCTGTTTCAATACAAACAAGATATGTCTATTTATTTGTAACTACATTCTTAGGCTTAAGTTCTACACAGAGCTACATTTATAATGTAAACTGCTGTTAGCAGAAAGATCAGTTATCTTTAAGCCTAATGCATACAGTTTATAATTATATTTTTTTTTTCACCAGTGAAGTCGTTTTACTGATAAATGTGTAATTATACTCTCATTTCTTTTCAAAGTATAGTGTTTAGTTAGTTCACTAGAAAAAAAAAATAATTTTTGCTTGACAATCTCTACAGTTAACCAGCAAGACAAAACAAAATATTTTAAATTCTTTCTACAAAAGCCAAATTTTTTAAATTAGCTAAATTACATATATATTTTTATTATACACCTAATGTCTGAATTTCTACTAACACTCCCAGGGATCCAGTTCAAACATCTATTAGAGCAGTTTACAATCATACAATTCCTTAACTGCAAGGAACTTTAGTTTTTTATTCAAAAATAATAAAAAAGAGAAATTTGTAGTACTAATTTTCTTTAACATTCAATTGAATTTCATGTAAGGGATACAATTGGTCAACTCTCTATTATTCTACATGGATATGTACAACATCAAATTAACTTCAGAAATCATGCTGTTCTTCACCGAAGTTTCTACAGTTAAATATGCAAATAAAAAAATTACTTCACATGAAATCCCAATTAAAATTTTCTTTTAAATTTATGAAAGAGAAAAATAAGTGAGAGATGTGATGGAGAGTCTGCATCTTCCTTTGCAAAGCACCATCTTCTGTTAAATGAAACCACTTTTGGACATCATTATCACGTAACTTCTGAACAAAATAAAACTTAACTGTCAAATAGTAATGTATCTGGTATGCTGCATCAGAAATGAAAACTTGGCATGGTAGGAGGGGGAGGGGGGGAGTTTGGAATGATAGGTGTTTTTAATAGTTTGTATTTGTAGCACTGATGGCGATGATCAGCTCATACTTATTTCTCAGTTTTAAACAAACTTGTCATTCATTCTTGTCACTTGTTACCCATCAAATGGCTGAGATTACCTGAGGCAGCACCCTGAAGTTGTCTCATCATATTTTGAAGTCCTGACATACCACCTGGTGTTAAAAAAACAAAATAATTAAGAAGGTTTTAAAGATATGTCTTTCAAAGAGAATAAACTATCACTTTTTTACACCTCTAATTCATATTTTAGAATTTATATTCTTAACAAAATATAATCATAAATGATAAAATTTACACTAAACATTAAACTTATTTGCTTAGAAAAACAAAAAACTTTAGAAATTATGTGGAGATAAGATTAATCTATTCATAGTCAGCAAGGTCAGAGTATGAGCTATAATAGTACGTCTTTCTTAATTTCATTGTGAGAAAAATACTTCACAATCAAAAATGACTTACTATGTTTCTGAAAATCAAAGGTTCTAAATCCTTCAGCAAATACAAACACTACAAACTAGAGCATTCAAGAATGAAGCCCATAAAGCAAATTATCAATTCAATCTGAGAAATGCTGCAAAAGTTTTATTTTTTAATTATAAATACCTTTGTGAAGGTAACGGTTAAAATTTTTCAATAAAATCAGTTGGAAGCACAATATTACATAACCTTTTGGTAAAATTAATGTCTTAGTTACAAAATTACAACAATACAATATAGGGCAAATAAATAAATAAATATAGCTTTACGTACATAAAGTGTACATATAATGGTATAATGTAAGAATATTAATAAAATATAAAGTTAAAAAGCATAAAAAGGTTTCTTTTAAATTTTACTTAAGTCAGTCAAATACAACAAAGTAATTTGGCTTAGTAAACTAGATGTGAGAAGTAACTAATACACGTCATATGATCAGGTTTATTTAACCCTATGTGCACAGATGGAGGTCAATATGCACATGCAATTATTTTTTCACAAAGTCTCATTAAAAATGGTATTATGTACTTGATAGAGTTATCAACTATTCTTTTTACCCTACATTAATGAATTAGCAACAGTTCATGGTAGAGGAAATACCATATATAGAGGAATATTGGAAGAAACTGTAGATATGCATTTCAGAAGCTCTAGAAGTTGTGCAAATACAACATGCAAACTGTACAATGGATAAAAGTATTCTTATTTTTCACATGAACATCACTTTGCATTCTGACTTGCAAGAGTCTGAGTAACGCTGACATTGTCAATTCATAGACATATCTTGAGTACAAATACTTTTGTAACACACCTGATTTCTAATAAAAGCTTACTACATTTTGTGCAGATACATGAAGTAGATTTGAAATTAAAGTCAATATTTCTTCTCCAATATGGGGTTAGTTCAATGGAGCAGCCACATGCCAATTTGGTTAAGCAAAGTTAAGACTGCCATGAAATGCATGAGTAAAGAACAAAGCAAGTCCTAATGTAATGAAAGTCACTTGAGCAAAACACTGACCACATAATTCTTTTCCCTGACATTGGTTTTAACTATTTCTTTGTATTTTCAGATTTTATCATGCTGCAATTTCATTTGTTTTTTTAACATAATTACAACTTGTTTTAATTAAATAATTTATTTTCTTCCATTAGCAAAAGATTTACTACTTTCCAAACCAGTTCAATTTATTTTTGTGGCTTCTATCAAGTTATCAAAATTTAACAGGCCTATCTGAAAATTTCTAATATCAAAACTTATGCCATTGTTCACACCATCTAATGAGTTGGAATAACCCAAGTCTTAATGGCAGAAAATTAGAAGTATTTACACGTACTAATTAAACAATCCCTTGTACATATTTACAGATATACTTAACATTGTAATATAGTTAACAATGTAGAAAAATTAACCTGTTAATTATCAATTTACTCATTTCCAGACTCTTCTGTTTCAATATAAATGAAATAAAGGGCAGGTTTATTAGAAATGTGATATACTCAGAACTAACTAAATTTGCAAGCTAAACATATATACTGGTGTTACTTTAAAACTAAGTGAACTGAGAACCTAATGCAGAAAAAGTTGACAACTGAAGTAAATATTCAATTCTTAATTTGTCTTATTATTATTCACAGAAATGAGGATTCAAACAGTTTCACATAAAAAGGAAAAAAAAACTGCTGTACTATTTCCATTATAGTTAACCAGCAAATTCTACTTTTTATTACCAAACAAATTAAAATCATTATATGAAACACTGGATGGTCATACTAACAAGGTTAAACTCCATATATTCAGTGTCTAAGCTTTATGAATTTAACTAAACACATTTCAGTACTTCCATTAGCAACCATTAAGAATTTCATCAGCTAAGAACACTTTCTATGTGTAGGTCTAACTATAAAAAAGTTCACTAAAGTACAGAAAAACCCAGCAATACTAAAGAGGGGGATTTACTAAACTACAGTCAATCCAGTAGTACTGGAGAAGGGGGATTCACTAAACTACAGTAAATCCAGCAGTACTGGAGAAGGGGGATTCACTATACTACTTATATTCCACTGGAAAAGGGAATGAATGAAGATCAAATTTATGTAAAAATTCACAAAGTACCAAAAAAATTTAACAAAAAACTGCAATCAGATATTTTTAATCATAAAAGAAATAAAAAAGACTTAAACTATTGTTTAAAAAACTGAAAATCTAATAGCTATTTCACATATTCTACATATTGTTACATACCTTTAGAATGGCTTTATTGTAATACAGATTATTTAGGTCTATTGTTAAATTTACTTTTATTATCTTACCCATTTGTTGCAAAACCTTAGGATCAATCATCTTGGCCATATGTTGGTTCAGTTTTGCCATCTGTGCTGGATTCACATTCTTTCCCATATCACCACCTAAGAAAGAGGATATTATTACACTTTTAAAAACAACATAATCCGTAATATTTGTAATCTTCAAAATAAATCTATAGATGTTCACTTTAATTTACCTCTTCACCAAAAATTAATGCTTTTTATTCAATTATCAACATTAACACTTTATCATCTCCACCTGTCTACTTATGCATGCTAGACATCATAT